TGTGTGTGTGTGTGTGTGTGTGTGTGTGTGTGTGTGTGTGTGTGTGTTTTCATCCTCTGTGCTGTTACTGCCAAACTGAAGAGAAATAAAAGTATGAACTACATCACTAATGCCCCTTTTCCATTAGTACCGGTACGGGCCGACTGGACCCTACTTGGCCCGGTTCTGAGGCTTTTCCATTAGTACCAGTACTTAGCACCTGTTACTATTTTCAGTACCCTTGGCTCTGTGGTTCTAACCCGAACGAAGAGGTACTAAAACGTGACGTCAGAACACTGACGGTCACTGATTGGTCGGGGGCGGAGTCGGGGGCGGAGTCACTGGATCCTTCAGAAACTTTTCAAAACAATGATCCGCCATTTGCAATTTCTCGGACTGGAGCAGCGGCTGGACTTATTTTAAAGATTTTAAAAACAATACTGACAACATCTTGGTTTAATGCCGACGTGCTGGCGTTTTTTGTGCTTGGTGGCCAACGATATAATTCAGAGCAAGCTGGATGGAGCTCTGCTGGTGTACCCCGATCCTCCCTCCGGAGCCTCAGAGCGCCAGGCTGGGCAGGGCATCATCTCCCTGGCTCCGAGTTCCACTGGTCACAGCGGAAGATTCTTCATGTGCTGACTCGGAGGCTCTGGTTCCGGATACCAGCCTTGTGTGCTCAGAGCTCCGTAGGTCACTGCGAAGTTGGAGATGGGGACTCGCAGAAGGCCGTTGCGAGACCCCGGCCGCGCGTAATCATGAAGGACGAATCCCGATCCCACCCGGCAGTCAGGCGGACTGGACAGTCTGGGACGGACTGTGGAAGCGATTTTTAAATAAACTAATTTTTTTTTTTTATACAAAAAAATGTTTTAAAAAATTGCTGAAGTGATTAAAAAAAAAGGTTTGTTTTTTTTAACACGTAAAATGTTTTTTAAAATCGCTTCCACCGTTCGTCGCAGACCCGTCTCTGTCCGCCTGTCTGCGCGGGTCGGGCCTTCATGATTACGTGAGGTTGGGGTCTGGCAACGGCCTCTGTGAGTCACCAGCTGAGCTCTGAGCTGGGAAGATGACGCCTGCCCGTCCTGTCTCCGGAGGAGAGGATCGTGTGAGACCAGCAGAGCTGGTCATAAAAAAAATTAAAAAAAATAATATTATATATATATATATATATATATATATATATATATATATATATATATATATATTCTTTTAGCATTGAAGATTAAAAAAATAAAATAAACTGTGCCAGCTTTATCATGAAATCCTGTTTTCACTTTAATTTAAGGCATTTTGGGTTTTCATGAGCTGTATGCCATAATCATCAGTATTAAAACAATTAAAGACCTGAAATATTTCAGTTGGTGTGCAATGAATCTGAAATATATGAAAGTTTCATTTTTATCATTACATTATGGAAAATAATGACCTTTATCACAATATGCTCATTTTTTGAGAAGGACCTGTATAAAACACTTTGACCTACAAAACAAAAATGAATAAAACAATTTATGCAGATTATTATTATTTTTTATCAAAATGAGGAAGTCCAGATCAATGAGCACATTCATCGATAAAACTAAAAAAAATGTCAACATGTAAGCAGAAAGAGGAGCAGGTAACCCTCTCGCTTTGAGTTACTCTTTGTCACCTGCGTGCTGTGGGTGACAAACGTCCAGATCATCAAAAAACAGCAGCTTAACTGAGGAGGTGAATTAATTTTGTTAGCAAAGAACAGTCCTAACATTTATTAAACATTACTTCTGTAAACTGTGCTTTGACAAACAATCAATAAAACTAAAACATTTTGTCAACATAAAAGAGGAAAGAAGGGGCAGGTGTCGCTCGTGCTTGAGTTTACTCTTTGTTGCATGTGCTGTGAGTGACGTCCAGAGCGCATGGACATGAAAAGTCCAGAGCGCATGGACATGAAAAGTCCAGAGCGCATGGACATGAAAAGTCCAGAGCGCATGGACATGAAAAGTCCAGAGCGCATGGACATGAAAAGTCCAGAGCGCATGGACATGAAAACAGGAGCGGAGGACGGAGGAGGTGACGGTCGGAGTTTATTTATCGTGTCAGCAGCAGAGGAGAGACATGGTTCATGCATGGCCCCCAAAATGACAAGGCAGCCATATTTGTTCATAACTTTATTATTAGGAATGCACACGACAAAATGAGAATGGTGAAAAAAAAAAAATACTCCCTGCGGCAAAAAAAGCATGTTTTCTAGGGTCACACGCCCCCCCCCCCCCCCCCGCATTGCCCCGGACCCCCCAGGGGGGCACGCCCCACTATTTGAGAAGGACTGCTTTAGTGATTCAATTTAATTCAATTCAGTTTATTTCTAAAGCTCCAAGTCACAACAGAATCGTCTCAGGGACTGAACAGAAACATTCATATACAAAATAATAATTAAGCATTATTCATCTGAGGAGCAGCTCTGAGTTTAACTCTCATCTTGAACCAGCATGAAGGCGACAGTGGAAAGAAAAAACTCCCTCATGAGGAAGAAACCTTTAACAGAACCAGCTCAGGACAAGCGGACCATCTGCTTCAACCGGCTGGGTTTGAGAGGAACAGATACACAATGGCAGATCAAGACTCATGTTAAGATAGAAATAGTATCAAATGAAAACTATTAAATTGTAACAATTCATTTAAAGAAATTAGGTCAATTTGTCCTCCAGTAGTCTAGCTTAAGTAAGCTTAATTCAAATTCCAATTCAAAAATACTTTATTAATCCCAAAGGGAAATGAATTGTTGTTGTAGCTCATCCTGGTTTCATTAGAGTTGTTCTATATGCTGATAGTTTTGGGCAGGAAGGATCTCTTGTAGCAGTCCGTCCCATAACAGATCCGAAGAAACTGGCTGCAGATGCCAATCCATCCACCCAGACCCAGCAGACCTCTCGTCCTCGTAAGACAGCATAACAAGCCAACCCTAACTACAGGATTTATCAAAAAGAAACGTCTTAAGTCCGATCAAAAACTGGATAATGTGTCAGCCTCACGGACAGAAACTGGAAGTTGGTTCCACAAGAGAGGAGCCTGAGAACTGAAAGATCTTCCTCCCATTCTGCTTCTGGAAACTCTAGGAACCACAAGTAAACCTGCAGTCTGAGAGCAAAGTGCTCTGTTAGGAAAATATGGAAAAATAAGATCTGTAATACAGTAGTCCCTCATTTATCATGGGGGATCTGTACCCTGATGCCCCACGATAAGTAAAAAACCACAAAGTAGGAATAATAATACAAGAAGTAGTTTATTTTGGTATATATATATATATGTGTGTGTGTGGGGGGGGGGGTGTAAAGACGTTTTAAACCCTTCCCACACTCATGCAATATTCTAAACAATGCTTCTAAACTATAAACGCTCTAAAAGACACAGCACGTCATGATTTCAGCTCCCTGCCTCCTCTGCTCTTTGCCACCTGCAAGCGCTCTTGGCCGCGCCCACTTTTCTGCTCTGCATGGTGAACAGCTGATCAGCTGCAGCAGGAAGTTTATCCTGTAGTATGGGCTGCACAAAGGTGCAGGAGGTGCTAGACAATTTAAAATAATTTATTTTAGATACAAGTTTCATGCTGATTGTGCAGCTCATCCATCAATCAGCCAATTGTGTATCATGTCCACTCTCATTTTGAAAAACCGTAATAGAATGAGTCTGCGATAAACGAACCACGAAGTAGCGAGGGACAACTTTATAAGATGGAGCTAGGTTGTTGAGAGTTTTGTAGGTTAGAAATAAGATTTTGAATTCAATTTTGGACTTGACAGGGAGCCAGTGGAAAGAAGCTAAAACTGGAGAGATATGATTGTAACTTACCTTTCTAATTTTTGTTTTGTCATAAATTGGTTCATAAGTATTTATTATTCTGTTGCATCAATGACACAGCCAAGGCTTTTATTTTGAAAGGCATAGAACGACAACATGTCTTAAATTAAGTGTTGCAAACCGTACAGCACAGGCACAAACCACAGGCGTGAACTCCCATGTGTAGAGAGAAAGAGTGCTGCACAGTTAAAAGGAAAAGGTGCATTATTAAGGTGTTATTTTAAGCTGGTTGATGAGGGAACAAGGTTGGTACTGAAGTTTTGTTTTTAAATGTACATTTAATTATATTTCACAGAGTACTGTATATACGTTGCTACTAAGCGCAATGGTTTAGTTTTGCCCACTAGATGGGGCTCATGTCCTTTAGTAATTTATTCATGTTTTATAATGCAAAGGGTTACAAGCTTCAATATTGTATGTTATATAAAATCACAGAAAGTTGTAATATGGTGTGTCTTGTTTTTTTTTTTACAGGAAAGGTTAAAGGCAACATACTGTTTTGAGTTACTAATAGCATTTTTATTTTGTATATATTGTAGATATTACGGTGTGTTCACATGCAAGGCTGTTCAATAAAGGGATTGT